TCAAAAATAATTGTGTCATGACTTAATTATTTATATGTTTTAATAGTGACTCAATTAATTGCATCAAATAATTGCATAAATTGTATCAAAGATCTATGAATTTCAGCAACATGTATATTCGGGACCATAAATACAAATTCAAAAAAGGCAAAACAAAAAAAAATTAGAAACTTTGTGTTTTACTTTATAAATTCAAAGTAATTTAATAATTTGCAAAGTAATTTTGAAAATTAAATAAAAAGTACTTTATTTTATTTTTGAATAGGATATACTTTAATGAAAAGATTAAGATCTGTGCTTGGTAGACAATCAAGAAGTACATATAATTTTGGCAATGAACGAAGGTATTAAGTATTGATTCTATAATTATTAAACATTGAAATTATTTTTTTTACTTATTAAATTGTCTTGCTTTTAATATATTGGCCTAAGCTCTTGCATATTGAAAAAGTGAATGCTGAAATATGAATGAAAAACAAGTGTTAAATATGTAAAAAATGTAAATGTAAGAGGAAATGTGAAGGCTCACTTGAAATTGCTGAAACAGAAACCTTAGTGATAGTTATTTTATGCATACTTAAAAGTTTTTTTTTTCTTTTTTTCCTACTCCTCTTTCAACTTATTCCTTTTATTTTATTTTTTCTTTCAGATTCAAACTGAAGGTGACAAAATAACAGTTCGATCAAAAAAGAAGTATGATTTTTTTATAATTCGATATTTTACAAATTTTATTGAGAAAAATCTAAATTGATCAAGTGACATAACAAAGTTGCTAAAACGTAGAGGAGGATTTCTGAGGACACCAGATGACAAGACAATAAGAACTTTACAAAAAAGAGTAAAGGCAGCCATCACAGCTCCAGTTAATATTGCTATTGTAATTATTTTGATGGCCTTTTCTTTTTGAATAGCATAAGTAATCATATCTGCCAAGACTAAATGTCTCTCCACATCCATATTACCAATTTCTACTGTTTTACCATTCATTGCAATAATCACTGATTTGGAAAGAGTAACTTGTCCACCAATCATTTTTTTAGTTAAACAAACTACAGCCACAACATTTATTTTTAGTTTCCATTTAGCCAACAAAAAATTAATCATTCAACTAACAAAAAATTGCAAGAAAGTTTTCATCACAATGGTAACATTTAAAATTTACTATAAAAGAAAAGCAATTATTATTTACTCTGAAAGTAATTTATGAAATAGAAAAAAAAGGAGGCTAGATTTTACTTACGGAAAGAGTAAAGACAATAAAAGTCAATGCACATGGCAACGGAGAACGAGAGTCTTCAGGAGTCATTAATGTTGACTAATTAGCCAATAAACCCCATTAATGGCACTGCCTAGCGACAACAGTGAAATTGCTGAGGAATCTAGTAATATGTCTGGTAATAAAAAATTGGTATCAAAGGACATTGCTCCCAGCAAAGGTGGAATTTTGCTGGTCAACTTATCAAAAAAGCGTGTAGCAACCAAATTGTATATAGTATTATGGTGAAATACGACGAATCTGTTGCTTCTGTTCTGTCTATGCCATACTACATTGGAGAATGGTTTCTCCTCAAAAGAGACATGTATATTTGGCTCAAGTTTAACAATGACACAGGTCGATCCATCGATCATGTGTCGTAACTGCCAACCTCCTGCGTGGTCACTCCTTTATTTAGTAATACTCTCAAGATAGATAGCCTTTTTAGTGCACAGTGCCTATCCTCCTTGATTGCCATATTTTTATATCATCATCTTATTTTTATACTTTTTATGCCTGATATAATTTA